CCACCCTCTCCTTGGCAACCATTAATCTGTTTTCCATTTATATGGTTCTTTCATTTGAAGAAAGTTCTATAAATAGAATCATAAAGTGTGTAACCTTTTAAGACTGGCTTTTTTCACTCAACATCGTTCTGTGGAGCTGCATGCAGGTTGTTGCATTTCATGTATTTTGTGTTATTCCTCCTCTTTATTGCTGAATAGTACTCCATGGTATGGATGTACTACAGCTTAACTGTGCAAGGACATCTGGGTTGTTCCCAGTTTCAGGCTGTTACAAAGTAAGTTGCTAAAAGCAGTTGTGTACAAGTTTTAGCATGAATATAAATTCTTAAGGAGCATGCCAAAATGTTTTCCAGGGCTTCCCTGGTGGCGCAGTGGTTGAGAGTCCGCCTGCTGATGCAGGGGACGTGGGTTCGTGCCCCGGTCCGGGAAGATCCCACATGCCGCGGAGCGGCTGGGCCCGTGAGCCATGGCCGCTGAGCCTGCGTGTCCGGAGCCTGTGCTCCGTAACGGGAGAGGCCACAACAGTGAGAGGCCCGCGTACTGCAAAAAAAAAAACAAAAACAAAAACAAAATGTTTTCCAGAGAGGCTGGGCTCTGTTACATTCTCACCAGCCATGTATGAGTGATCCAGCTTTTCCACAGTCTTTGTGAATGTGAGAGCATTTGATATGGTCACTAATTTTTATTTTAACCTTTCTGATAGGTGTGTTGTGATATCTGATTATGGTTTTAATTTGCATTTCCCTAATGATATTAAAATCTTTTCATGTGCTTATTTATCCACTGTATATCCACTTTGGTGAAATTTCTGTTCATGTTCTAGACCTATTGTCTATTTGGATTAATGGATTTTTTTCATGTACCTTTTAAAAAAAAAACATGAGATTTGAGAGTTCTTTATGAATTCTAGATATTAGTCTTCTTCAAATATGTGATTTTCAAATATTTTCTCCCACTCTGTAGCTCATCTTCCTCTGCTCTTTTTACAGGGTCTTTCATAGAGCAGACATTTCTAATGTTGATGAAGTCCAATTTATCTATTTCTGTCAGTGAGTTGTAATATTGGTGTTATTTTTCATAAATGCTTGGTAAAATTCTCCAGTGAAATTATCTAGGTCTGAAAGTTTCTTTTGGGGACATTTTGTAATTACAGCTATGATATCCTTAGTAACTATAAGGCCATTCACATTTTTTATTTCATTATGGCAGTTTGTTTTTCAATAAATTAGTCCGTTTCATTTAAGTTGTCAAAGTTTTTAATTTTCATTCAGTTCAGCGAATTTAAAAAATCGCTTAATGCATTGAGACTCCCTTTTCAACTCTTGAAATATTTAGAATTGTGTTATTTAGTCTCCAGTGGTTTGGTATTTCCCTTTTGTGTTTCTGTGATTAATTTCTAGTTTGATTCCAGTATGGTCAGAGAATGCTTTCTGTATGATTTCAGTTCCTTTTAATTTGTCAGGATTTGCTTTATGTCCCAAGATATGGATTATCCAGATATTTGTGTCCCATGTGCACTTGACAATAATGTGTTTTCTGCTGTTGTGTGAAGTGTTTTATAAATGTAATGTAGATCTTGTTGGTTGATGGTGTTTATGAGTTCTGTATTCTTGTTGACTTCTTGTCTACTTGTTCTATCAATTATTCAAAAACAGATGTTGAAATCTCCAAATGTAACTGGATGTGCCTGTACCTCCTTTCAGTTTAATCTGCTTTAACTTCACGTATTTTACAGTTATGAGATCTGGTGCGTCACCCTTAGGATTGCTCTGTCCCGTGGAGTTTGATATTTGGGAGGTCCCCAAATATCCCTCTCTGCCTCTGGTGATTTCCTTTGCTCTGGTGTCTAGTTTATTTGATATTTATATTTATTTGATATTTAATAGTATATATTTAGTATCTACTCCTGCTTTCCTTAATGTAATATTTTCATACTATGTCCTTCCTTGTTTTGTTACTTTCAGCCTTCCTATATTGTTATATTTGAAGTAAGTTTCTTATAGACAACATATTGTTTGTTCATATGTTTTCATCTACTCTGACATTCTCTGTCTGTAAATGTAAAAGAATAACAGTGGAATGAGAGTTAAGGAAATACTTTATTAATATCTTAACCAAATAAATTCCAAAACAGAGAGCTCTGATATGAACTGGATTGGAGCACATCTTTAAGTTAGTTTGAAGTCTAAGCTAGGTTTCCCTTTCCTACTGTAGCTAAACGTCAGGCATACTCAGGAACATGAGTGGAAGGATGGATAGACAGACTCTGGTCTAATACTCCACTCACCTTATAGGTATGTAGAAACATGTAGAAAAAGTGAACTGGCTGTGTCTATCCCTACAGATCCTGCCCCAGTCCCTTTAGAAAGAATGTGATTTCCAATGCATCAACACTCTGCTTAGTGATAAGCTACTTCCCACAGATGTCCTGGCCCTAGGCAATGAGTTAATTGGTAAGTAGTAGGTAGGTAGCAGTGTAGGAGACTGATGAAGGGAAGTTAAGACTCTTCTTTTCTGACCGGAGACATTTTTTTGTTATGGTTAACTTTTTTTCTTCAGGCTAAACTTAAGAACTTTACATTTCTTTCTGTTCCTTTTTCATCTTTTTTTTCACTTCAGACTGTCTCTATAGACAGCCCAGTTTTCCAATAGATTTCTGGATTTCATCATCTTCCCCCTCTACTTCTTCCTTTCACACATGACATTCCAGGGATTTCCTGAGATCAGGTACCCACATCATTCCTGCTCAAGGCAGGGAGTGACCTTAATTAGAAACCTTACCTATGATTTCCTTTAGGGCTACATTACAATTTTATTGTGCCTGAGAGAATCAGCTAGGCTCTTCCCTCTCTTCTAATTAGGTCTCTGGACACTGCAGCAACTCAACAATGGTAGAAATTGAAGTGGGTGATTTATCACTGAACAGTTCCCTGGGTGATCCAGGCCTACCTCTCCAAGTTGGGAGAAAGACCGTTGAGACCCACAAAGTCACTCAGACAAGTTTTTGATGATTCTTCAAGAACCAGTTAAGTCAGGAGTAATTTATACCAAGAGCCAAATGATCATATTAGGATACCTCCCAGGAAATTTTACGTGGAAAAGCACAGTAGAAGACTATTGAAAGGTCCCCTATACCATCTATAATAAATCAGTGATTGATTTATCAAAATAATCCCAATTCAGAAATGCATTCTTTCAACAGATCTGATTATTCCTAGTAGCAAGACTCCACAAAAAACAGGGTTACCATCCTCTCTCTTTAGTCAGAAAAACATTACTCCATGGCAAGTATATTCATACTTAAAGATTTTTAATTACTTTTATTTAGAACATCAGACTTGAACCTTAAAATGGCTATATGAGATGGATGGAATGTGGATTATTGTTACCTAATGAAGTTAAAATACAAGAGTTTAAATGACTTACTTAAGGCAACACTATTTAGAATTGATAGTGACTGAATTTGAATCCATGATTGTCTAACTTCAACTTCCATGATCCCCGGATATCTCTTAAAGAAGTGTTAAAAGGGACAGTGGAATCAGAAACAGGGAGGCCCTTCTTGCTAAAGATGGTTCAGTAAGAAACATATGGGACTCTACCAAATTCAATGTCAAATTAAAAAGAAGAGTAGAAGGAGGTAAAAGAAAATGGGGGAGAAGTAGAAATAATGACAAACACGAAGTTAATGCATAAAACATGAGTAAAAATGATTTTGTTAAACTTTTAAAATACTTCAAGTACCATACAAGCTCTCTGACTTTGGGGTCTCCAAGATAGGAACCATGGTATACGTAGCAGTAGAGTGAACAAATTACACTGGTTTTCCTGGGACTGTTCTGCAATCCCACACAAACCAGGACATTTGGTCAGCCTATGCAGTAGAGGAAGACTGAGGGTTAAAGGGGATGCTTGGATCCTACTGCCACTTCCAGTCTAAGACATCCATATTTGTCAAGTCACCTCAACTCTCTGTCAGTTTCCTTATCTCTCAAAAGTGGATCAGTTTACCCAGTTCAAGTGTTGTGAAGTTAAATACAAGATCAACTTAGCAAAAAAGCTTTCAGCCAGCAGGTCAATGCTTTTGTGTTTCAAGGCTGAAAAGAAATGTTGCAGGGCCAAAAAACACATTATATTTGGGAGTTGATGGCTTATCAAGGGGGGAGAAGAGAACCTAATTGAGGAGCTGCTTCGTGGAAGGGAGAGAGGGGAGGTAATGGAAATACTGGCAGGTTAGAGGTTTAGGAACTGTAGAGATCTGTGCCCCGCTTGCCCACTGTCCCTCCATTGTGGGGTGAGTCCTGGATATCAGCAAAGGCTTGACATGAAGGCCAGAGGCCTTTGAGAGCTGTGCTGAGGTTCTGCACCAGCACTCGGAGAGCTAAGGACTTAATTACAGTGCAGTGTGGTAGACAGAGCCAACAGTGATGGTGCCCACGGTGACTCAGGACCGCACCCTTTTCCTGTTTTAGGTGTGTGGACTTAGCGCCCAGGAAAGACAGGTGGTTCCCACAATATGATAGATTGAATTAGCCACTGCCTTGGTCACTGGGGGCTCGGATTTGATTTCATTTAAAACAAATAGAGTAACTAAGTTTCCATTAATCTAAACATTATAAGACAATTTTTTTTATCATCTACTCAAAGAAAAATGAGACATTTTTCTGGACTACAGATATTCTCAGAGAACAGTTTAGGAGAAAGCCCCATATACGGTCAGTTATCACATAAGAAGGTGAGGTAAGGTTTTCTCACAGGTGAGGGTCTGGGGAGAGCTAAGGGAGGAACTGTCTGTGAATTTCCAGACACAGGTGGGCAGAGCAGCTCTGAAATTCTCTGCATGGTAATCGCTGGGACAAAGCACTCCTCTGAGATCAGGCAAGCAGGCTAAATAGGGGAGAGGATGAACATGCTCAAAGTGCCGTCTTCATGCATAAGAAAATAAAGGCAAATACACAGAAACAATATTCAACTCTTGTTAATCTTTCTGTTTCCTGCAGAAATTCCCTGCTGGGGTAGGAGAGAAGAGAAAAGCTCTCTCACAGAACACTTCAGCATGTAAGTAACACTTTGGAATGTACTAGTCTTGATCTGAGGAGGAAAAAACAACTGCAGACCCCATCAAATGTCAGAAAAGTCACTTTGTTCCAAATGGGCTACTTTTAACCACATTTGTTACAATCTATTGGTAATTCCACTGAGAGTATAAGAACTAGCTTCCCTTTAACTGGCAATTGCGAAGAAGTCTCCCCAGGAAACTTCCTTCAAAGGGAACATTTTAAATTCCATTAGTGACTATGACAGCACTATAGCTGAGAGGAGGTAGGGTTGGTCGAATCTTTTGTTTAAAATATTCAGAATAATTGACGTCAGAGAAGGGCAGGGAGGGAGGGAGAAATAGAGACAGAGAGAGCGGGAGCCAGAGGGCGCGCATTAGTTGAATGATTGATGATAGAGCGTTTCTAATTACATCAGCCTTTCCAGAGGAGACAGGTCATGGCGAACTTACTGATCCACAGCTACAAGTTTAAGAGTTTTTGACAGATAGCTATAATGTAAAATACAATTATTAAAAGACAAGACAGATGTGAACAGCTTGTTTCTTTTTTCATGTAGAAGTCAGACAGGGGCAGAGAAATTTTGCTACCATCATGGAACTAAGACTTACAACTTCAGTGGATGGTTTGAGGTTGGCAAAGTTAGATTACAAAGTACCAAACCAGTGAAATTGAGGTTACCTTTAATTTCATGGGGAGAAAAATGTAATTTGTCCTCTCATTTTTCATCCTCTAGAGATTTTTAAATAGTATTTTATTTCTGCTTGTAAATGGCATACACTCTCCTTGTAGAAGTTAACATAAAATAAAATGAAATAAAGTAAAATAATAAAATAAAATATCGGCCACAATCAATTCTCAGAACTAACTACTGCCATGGCTTTTTCCTTAGTACCTTTATATAGTTGAGATTTATACAATCCAGGTAGAAACCTAATTTTGTTCCTATTTAGTATTAAAATACGAACATTTTGCAATGCCATTGAAAATTTTTCTACATTTTATTTTAATATCTACAGAATAACTTGACACTTCTGAAAGTCTGTTTTTAAATTTAATAAAATTTTAAAAAGTAAGCTAACAAAATGTACTTCCTAATATGGCTATGAGACATTTCATTTATTTACTCGTGTAAATAGTTCTCTGAGAAATTAATTTTATTGGATAACATTAGTTTTGCCAAATTGCTTTCTAAAACCTCTGTGCATGTTCTGTACTTTCCCCACATCCTATCAAGCAAAAATTAACTTATATGTTTCTTTAACTCAAGTTCCTGGATAAGTTCACCACCAAGATGAATTACTAATTAGCAGCAGCATATTCAGTTTTGGAAAAATGTCTGTCTTTCAATTCAGTTGAGTTCATCCGGTTTCCTGTTTTAATTCTATCACTCTGCAGATTCCATTTTCTCTTAAAGGTTTTTCCACATCAGTTGTAGGGGAAACAAGAGCTCTTGGTCATACCTTAAAAAGTTTGCTTGGTCAGTCTTCTAACTTTAGAGGGCTTTATTTCTTTTATTCCTGGGTTTGTTGTTGTTGTGGTTTTGGTAGTTCTTTACTGTTGGAAAAATGGTGATTGCTGATTCATAGAATAGAAATTTTCACTGCTAGATATCATTTTTTGCTAATATTAATGCAAACAATAGCTAATTGTATTGAGTGTTTACTATATGCAGGTACCATGCTAAGGAATATATGTATTTTTTTTTCCCCTCGGAATTTAATTCTCATGGTAAATAGTGTTATTTCTGGTTTATAAATGAAGGAACTGTAACTAAGAGAGGTTGAGTGCCTTCTCAGAGTCACACAGCCACAGAACTAGATGGGATTTAAGCTAGGATTTAAGCATTATGACATCAGAATTCATGCTCTTTCAGCATGTAGAGTTTGAAACATAAATTAAGCAATTTCTGTTTCAGTAATGTTCTGGATATATAAAAGGCCAGTTATTGGATTTCTTAGGCTTTTATCTCTAAAATTGCCCTTGGCCATGCTTAGGAACAAGGGGTGGGAAATAGTTTTTCTCTAATATATCTTAGATGTCTGTTATATTTGAATCAGGAATGTGATTATTTGGAGCGGTTATACCTACTTATCCAAATCCTTATGTTCCTTCTGCCCATTGGTATCAACTCTTTAAATGGTAAATCCTTGGGAATCTGGTTGTTTCCTCAGTGAGCAACTAGAAAGTAAGATCTGAATATATTGATTTTAGGAAAATAATCACTGTTAATGGAGATATGATATAGTATAAAGGGTTGTAAAGCTGGTTCTATTAAGCTATGGCTTGATAACTTTGGATAAATCCCTGTATCTCTCTGTCCCTCAATTTCATAGTCTGAAACATGAGGACAATAGTAGATTTCTCATAAATTACAAGGATTTTATGAGATAATGGATATGAGCATGTTTTATAAAGCATCTGATAAATACCTGTGAAAAGAAGAGAGATTGTCCAGTTACCTCATTTTGCTGATAAAGAAGGAAAATAAACCCTAACATCTGTTCTTACATAGGCTAAGCGCACTGCACATGCTATGTCAGTTAAGCCCCACAATACTATCTGAAATATATCCATGTATAGATGGGGAATCTGAGGCTCAGAGAGAGTAAATCAATGCCCCTCCCCTGTTCATACGTGTGCTACATAACCTAGTCAGTATTTGAAGCCAGTCTCCCTTTTTAGAAGACCCGTACTCTAGCCCAATGCCCCACTTTCCCTTTCTTCATGCCAAAGACACTTTCTCCTGCATTGGACCACTTTCCAATTCTGACCAGGCCAGTTCCTTTGGTATGTATTGGAAGGCAATGCAACCACCACATTCGAGACTCAGACTTTCTCCTCAGCGTGCATCTCCCTCCCTGGAGTTGGGTCTTCATCCCTATTCCCAATGTAGAAAACATTCTCCATGCTCAATTCTCTTCTCCCTCCTGCACAGAAATTCTCTGCATAATGGAAAATCACAGTAGTTTAAGTTCCCGTGATGTGAGGGATCCGTCTCCAACCACAAATCACTAGTTGTAATTAAAGCATAATGAAATACCAAAGTCAGTCAGGGCCTAAAGGGGCCTTTTCTACGACAGTCACCTCCTACATTAATTCTCTAGTTACACAACTACACTTCATCTTTCCATAAGCCCAGTTCAATATGTTAAATGATATTGGTTATTTTTAATATATAGCTTATATTTGGGATCTAAATAGTTGCTATGGGCAAAAGGGCTCAAGAAAGGGAAACAGAGTATTTCCAAAATTATACTATTTCTTTGGAATATGTAGCCCAGACCCCTAGACTATCACTATATTCTTGTCATCATCTTTCAACAACAGCAACTTTAACAACAACTTGCCATCTATTCACTAATTTGTTCATCTTGTCAGTAGATAAATCCTGACCACCTACTGTGCCAGGCACTGTTGTAAATGCTCAGGATAGACCAGTGAGCCAAACAGACACGATCCCTTCCTTTCAGGATTTATATTCTAGCAGCGGAGGTAGACAGTTCATTATCAATAATCATGATACATGTGTAGATTGCATGTCGTGTTGGAATGAATACATGGATCAGGTAAGTGACATCAAAGGGTAGGATGTGCAGCAGTTTACAGTAGTAAACAGAGTGGTACTGTGAGCCTAATTTAAGGGGGAGAGAGACTTGAGCAAAGGGCCTTGATGGGGGCAGAGAAGATTAGGCCAGAAGGGAGCTGGGAAGAGTACTTCTGACAGAGGAAGACCATAGGCAAAAGCCCAGAGTGTTTAAGAATCTATTAGGAGATCGCCGTGACCCTGTAGGACTTGCTGAGGACCTCTGGCATTTACTCTGAGTAAAATAGGTAACCATGAAAGATTTTTGAGTGGAGGACAGATGTGAGCTGACTAATATTTTATTTAATGAGAACTCATTGGTGCCAGACTGCTGTGGACTAGATGTGTGTGTCCCCTACAATTCATATACTGAAGCTCTGACCTCAAGTGTACTGGCGTTAGGAGGTGGGGCCTTTAGGAGGTAGTTCGTTTTAGGTGAGGTCATGAGGATAGGGTCCTCACAATGGAATTAGTGTCCTTATAAGAAGATGAAGCGACCAGAGTTCTCTCTGTCTGCCATGTGAGGAAACTGCAAGAAAACATACACCTGCAAACCAGGAAGTGGAGTTTTACCAGGAACTATCAATAAGTCAGCCAGCATGTTGAGCTCGGACTCACCAGCCTCCAGAACTGTGAGAAAAGAAATTTCTGTTGTTTAAGCCACCTGGTCTATGGTATTTTTGTTACAGAAGCCTGAACTGACTATGACACAGGCCCTAAACTAAGTCATTTAATTCTGAACAACTCTGCATGTTAACAGTAGCGGCTCCGTTTTACAGATGAGCGCACAAAGGTTCTGAGACATGAAATGCCACAGGAGGGCTGCTCAAGAAGGGACATAAGTCATAGTCAAACCACAGCAGAAACCCACTACACGCACCCCGTACCACGCTGATTCTCATCCAGGCAACTTTCCCATGCAGGTCCCCAGACACCCCCAATCCTAACGTCCAGAATCTTCTGTCAGCTTATTTTTCAGAACTGAGCTTAAACTGAATGTCTTGGGTAAAGCCAATCCTAAACACACTAGTTAGTATTGCAACTTGCAACCCCTTCTTGGTTCTTTCATAGTACCTATCACAATCTGTATCTATTTATTTACGGATTCATTTTCTATCCGCTACACTGAACGTAAGCTAAATTACTGTAAGTGAGTTGTGAATACTGCCAACCTAGCACAATGCCTGGTATTTTATGGGTGTTAAATAAATATTTATGGAAGGAGAGAGTAATGAACACTTAAAACAATATAAAAATAAACAAAAACTCACTTTTTTTTTCTTTTTGCGGTACATGGGCCTCTCACTGCCGTCGCCTCTCCCACTGCGGAGCACAGGCTCCGGACACGCAGGCTCAGCGGCCATGGCTCACGGGCCCAACTGCTCTGCGGCATGTGGGATCCTCCCAGACCGGGG